TTGTTTTGCTAGGGAAACTTTGTGGAGACTACAGAAAAAAAAAAGGAAATAAAAGTGATCATCTCTAGGAATAACCTTGCTGTCTTTTTTTTTTTAAAACTTGGATCACTGAGAGAAAAATGTTTAGAGGGTGCCCATAGTGATCCAAATCCCTATGCCCCCATCCCTACAAGGGCCCTAACATAAGTCCACCTTAGTCACTTCAACATTCATTCAACAAACACCCAGTGGGCCCTTGGGATTCGCCAGGTACTGAGCTAGGTTCTGAGGATACAGTGGCAAACAGCACCAACAGCCCTGGCCCCCCACAGACCTCTCAGTGGTAGAAGAGACAAGTCATTAGCCAGTCACGGCCATCACATCGCCCTTACCACTCAAGAGCTGACCTCTATGCTAACTATTTTTTTCAGGGGTTTAGTTATTGATTTGAGAGAGAGGGAATGGGGGGAGTTGCAGAGAGAGACACTCCTCAAGCAGACCCCTGGCTGAGCATGGAGCCCCACTCGGGGCTCAATCCCACAACTCAGATCCTGACCTGAACCGAAACCAAGAGTCAGGCACTTAACCTGCTGAGCCACCCGCGCACCCCTGTGCTAAGCACTTTTGCTGTATTATTTTATTTGCTCTTTATAACCCTGTGAGGAGGTGTTCTTCTCAACCACATCACGCAGATTGAGGGAACTCAGGGAAAAAGAGCTTAAAAAGAGCTTGGACAAGGACCACAGAGTTAGTGAGGGAGAAGCTGGGATCTGCACCCACAGAATCTGGCTCCCGAGTGGGGTGAGGATTAGCTCAGTGCTGCCCTGGGAGACACTGTATGGTCAAAAAAGAGAGCCTGAGGAAGCGAGGTCTACCTGGAAACGCAAGACAGAAGCACCGAATCCATTCTTTCCCTCAGATCATCCACCAGACTCCAGCGTCCCTCCTTCAGGATTCTCACCCTATTTTTGCCCCTAATGTGGTTCTTCAAGACTCTACATCCGCCATTCCCACATGCCTTTACTTTTCAGCGCTTCTCAGACTCCCTTGGCACTTGGGCTTCTTCTCCAAGACCCTACCCTGTCTTGTTCTCTCAGGGCCATCTTGGAAAGTCCCCTTTCCCCCTCACCCCCAAAATTTTCATGCTTAGCCCAGAACTCTGGTTTTCCCAGCACCAAATATTAATCACAGTTCAGGTCAAACCTGCCATCCTCAGGTTTCCCCAAATTCCTGGGAGGGTGAGGCAGGGACGTGATGAGGAGGAGTCTGGGACTTTTGGCTCCCGGCCACCCCAGAAATGCAGGGCAAGAGCCAGGCTTGAGGAAACTTGAAGAACTTGGCATCTTTTCCAAATTAAGGTTCAAACCAAGCCTTCTCCCCAGGTGTGACTGGCTTTCATTCCAGAGGGTCTGCTTGGCCTCCAATCCAAATGACCCTGAGCTCAAAGGGCAAAGGGAAGGTGGATGCTGATCCCAGGGTGGCAGATACCAGAGAAGTCTGTCACTGCTCATGCCTACCTCTCCTTAGCTCTGCCAGGCCTGGGGAAGCTCAGAAACACCTGGCAGGTGGCAATGCTTGCATCTACCTGCTGCAATGGAAGCCGGTAGGAGAGAGAAGCTGATGGCAACCGACCTTTTGCCAAGAGTCAGACACACCCAGGTTGGTAGCCTTGAACACTTCCTCTTCCAGAGGATTCCTCTTTCGGGAATTCTAACCTCAGGGAACGCCCAGATCCCGAGGAAGAGGAGGAGGAGCATGTGAGAAGGTGGTGATATCACTCAAGGTCTCTTTCTAGGGAAAACTATAATGAGGGAGGCAGAAAGAATTTTTTAACAAGGTCAGCTCTTCCTCTGAAAGCTGCAGAAGTCATCACAGTAGTGGCAGCAAACGCTTACACAGTGCTTACTAGTGCTTGAGGCCCTAGTCAAGAATGCTTGCTATACTCGAACTCATTTCATCTTGGGTCCGGGAGAACTTGCTTGGCTGAGACCTTTTTCAGGTGCTGGGTCCTGCTGCTAGTCTGGTATTTTGATAGCATTTTAGTTTACAAGATCTGTTTTATCATTGCATCATTCATTGATTCAGCCTACTGAGCATCTACTATCTCCCCCACACTGAGAACACAACTTTTTTTCTCTTAAAGAGTGAAGAGTCTAGAGCAACCCATTATAGAGGGATAAGTGCTTTTCCGAAGGGCAACACATGCTGTGGGAAGATGGTGGAGAGTTACCTAATGTGAACTGAATTGTGTGGGGATAGGGATTATCGGAGGAGGCTTCCAGGTGGTTGTGACACCTTGACTGAGTCTTCAAGGAGGCATAGGAGTTGGTCAAGGAAAGGGAAGAAAGCCATACTAGACAGAAGCCTGAAGATGCCTGAGGAGGGCAAGTCTGGGAAACACATGTTGGTCGACATGGGCAGAGTTTGGAAGTGAGGGGGAGGCGGGTGGCAGGAGAGCATGAGGCAGGATCACAGGGTCCTCAGAGTTGATATACTTCATGAGCTTGTGTCAGAGGAGCCTCATCGTGCCAGTCCCCAGCTGTCCTTCCAGCCACCCTAGCTGATGCCATGTGGAGTAAAAGCAAAGTGCTCTTGCCAAGCCATGCCCAAAATTGCCACAAGCAAATAAATGATTATTGTTGTTTGAAGCCATTGTTTTTGAGATAGTTTGGTTTTGGGGGCAACAGACCTAAAACAATCACTTCAGAGTTGGGGCAGCTGAAGAGGAAGAGGACAGCAATGTGGGAAATGACAGACACCAATACTAGGGTCTGATACCTATTTTTTAAAGATTTATGTATTTAATTGAGAGAGAGAGAGAGAGAGAGAGAAAGTGCCCATGTGAGCAGGGTGAGGGACAGAGAGAGAGAGAGAGAGAGAGGATCTCAAGCAGACTCCCAGCTGAGCAGGGAGCCCGACAAGGGGCTCAATCTCACAACCCTCAGATCACAACATGAGTTGAAATTAAGAGGTAGATGCTTAACCCACTGAGTGACCCGTATGGCTCCTATGGCCCATGGTCCCTAACTCCCAAGGTGTTAAGGCCCATATCTTGATCCCCCCAGGTACCATGTTTGGTTAGAAGCATATATTGTTTGATGACATCTGTAAACTAGTCAGATCAGCTAATTAATATTAGTATATGATTCCGATGATGCTAAAGGGGTATTAGGCTCGAACTACAGAATCTTGATATAAGAACAGGGATGGTACATGATGCTAGTACCTCAATGAGTATAGACTGGTGAACTGATGTTGGCCTAAAGGGGGATTTCTAATAGCTGCCCACAGTCTTCCACCCAGTCCCTTGACCTATTGATTTTAATCACCACTTGGATGGAGTTTAGGAAGCCATGCTTATCAAAGTGGCGAAAGACATGGACCTTGGGAAATTCATGGGCATATGGAATGACATGATGAGGATCCTGAAATATTTTGACAATCTGGAGCAGTAAATTTAATCCAGTAAGATAAAATTTAGGAGGGATAAATGTAGGACTTCATGGTTGAAGCTAAAAAGAAAATCTTCACACGTATAAAATGAAAAAGGTGTGGTATAGCCACAGGATATATGAGAATAGCCTAAGAGTTCAGGCTTTTGGGTTAGGTAGTTGTACGGTTACATTTTAGCCTCACCACTTAGTAACGATAAGCTTTAGGAAATTATTTAATCCTCTCGGACCCTTAGTCTTTCCTTGTAAGAATTAGATGTAATTCATGTAAAGGGTGGTTTCTGGCACAAAGTAACTTCTCAATAGATGGCCAGCAAAAGATCTCAGTTGTTTGTAAAGGTATTGATGAGACTATGACAATCCCCAGTTCTCTATAGAATCTAGGAAAGTCCTGTCCAAGAGAACTTTCTCTGATGAAAGAAATATTCTATAATCTGTGCCGTCCAATAGGATGGCCACTAGCCACATATGGCTCCTGAGCCCTTTAATGTGCCTATTGCAACTAAGAAATGAAATTTTTCATTATAGTTGTAATGAATTTAAATTCAAATGGTCACATGAGGCTAGTGGTTACCATGTTGGACAGCCCTGGGCTAGATGACGTTAAGACATGCTCGTCTCTAAACCTAACTAGGATCTAGAAGGAAGGAACAATTTTCACTTGATTTCTTTTTGAAATTAAAACTAAAGTGTGAAATTTAATAAGCTGTATACCTATGCCATAGGTATACACCCATCAAACCATCACCTCAGTCAAATTGTGAACATATGCAGCACCTCCAACAGTTTTTCTTGCTCCATTGTAATCCTTCTCTCCTGTCCCTCTCACTCATGACCCCACTCCCCCTGCTGTCCAGGCAACTACTAACCTACTTTCTGACAGTATGGATTAGTTTGGGTTTGCTAGTATATACTATAAGTAACATCACATAGTATATAGCCTCTTCTGTCTGGCTTCTTTAATTTATTATATTTCATCCATGAGAGTCATTCACAGTGTTACATCTATGAATAGCTCATTTCTTGTTATTGTTGAGTATCCATTATACAGATATATCACAATTTCTTTATTCGTTCACCTTCTAATGGACATTTGGCTGTTTCTAGTTTCAAACTATTGCAAATAAAGCTGCTATGAACATTTTGTGAAGTTTTTGTATGGACATATACTTTGTTTTCTCTGCGGTAAATGCCTTATAGTGAAATGGTTGGATCATATTATAAACGTCAGTTTCGTTTTATTTTATTTAATTTAAAGATTTTATTTATTTATTCATGAAAGACAGAGAGAGAGAGAGGCAGAGACATAGGCAGAGAGAGAAGCTGGCCCCTCGCAGGAAGCCTGATGTGGGATTTGATCCCAGGACCCCAGGATCACTACCTGTGCGGAAGGCAGATGCTCAACCACTGAGCCACCCAGGGGTCCCGTCAGTTTGGTTTTTTAAAGAATTTTTGGTGAAGTATCTATTCAAATCTTATGCTGTTTTTAGATTGAATTGTTTGTTTCTGTTCTGTTGTTGTTGTTTTTTTAATGTGAATCTTTTACTGGCCTGTAGGCCACGACATAAAAAAATTATGGAACACTTCACAAATGTGCATGTCATCCTTGCACAAGGGCCATGCTAATCTTTTCTGTATCTTTCCAATTTTAGTGTAAATGATGCCAAAGCAAGCGCAAATTGTTTGCTTCTTAATACAAAGTTTGTATTTTCTGGATACAAGTCTTTTATTAGATATATGCTTTGCAAATATCTTATTCCAGTCTGTGCCTGGTCTTTACATTCTCTTATTAACAGTGCCTTCTGAAAAGCAGAAGCTTTTGATTTTGGCAGCCGTATTTATCAACTTGTTCTTTTGTGGATTGTGCTCTTGTCATTGTATCTTTGCTTAAGATATGATCACCAAGACTTTCTCTCATGTTTTCTTCTGGAAGTTTCATAACTTTGAGTCGTATACTTAAATCTATGATCCAGTTTTGTGTGTGATGTGTTGTAAGGATCAAAATTTATTTTTTAAAAACAGGCATATTCAACAGTTACAGCACCATTTGCTGAAAAGACCATCCCTTCTTCACCAAATGCCTTTACGTCTTTGTCAAAAATCAGTTATCCATATGCGTGCAGGTCTATTTCTAGACTCCGTATTCTGTTTCCTCGGTCTATTTATCTTTACACACTGTCTTGATTACTATAGCCTGTGATATGTCTTGAAATCAGAACACATGAGCCCTCCAAATTTATTCTTTTTCAAAGCTGTTTCATCTATTCTCAGTCTCTTGAATTTCTACATAAATTTTAGAATAAGCTTGTCAATTTCTACAAAAAAAAGTCTATTGGAATTTTGGTTAATATTTATTGAATTTATAGATCGATTTGGGGGGAATTGCTGTATTGGTAACACTGAGTCTTCTGATCCACAAAGTACCTCTCTCCATTTCCTTGTATCTTCTTTAACCTCTGTCAGCAATGTTTCCTCATTTTCACCACACAGTTTTTCATAACCTTTATCAAAGTTAAACTTACGTATTTCACATTTTTTATGCTACTGTAAATTGTAATTTTCAACTTCAATTTCTGATCATTCATTGCTGGTATACAGACACACGGAAGATTTTTGTACATTTAGAAAGACAATGTTTTGTGTTATTAGTCTTGTATTCTACAGTCTTGCTTGACTCCCTTACTAGTTCCAGGAGCCTTTTTGTAGACTCTACAGAATTGTCTATGTGGGCTATGAATAAGGATAGTTTTACTTCTCCCTTTCCAAACTGGATGCCTTTTATTTTATTTATTTATATTTTTGTCTTATTGCAGTGCCTAGAATCTCAAATACAATTATAAATACAAGTGGTGAGAATGAATATCCTTTGTATTGTTTCCGATATTAGGGAGAAAGAATTCAGTCTTTTTTCATTAAGTATGATGTTAGCTGTAGGTTTTTCATAGATGCCCGTTAGCAAATTGAGGACATTCTTTTCTAATATAGGCATTTGGTGTTATAAATTTCAGCCTAAGTATTGCTTTAGTAGCATTCTGCAAATTCCAACATGTGGTGTTTCTGTTTTCATTCAGTTCAAAATACTTTCTAATTTCTCTTTTGATTTCTTCTTTGATCTAAGGGTTTTTTTTTTATAAGTAGATTACTTAGTTTCCAAATATTTGGAGATTCTTCAGATATCTTTTTCCAACTGAATTCTCACTTAATTCCATTGTGGTCAGACAACATGACCACAATGTGTGTGTCTGTGTGTAATCGTCAGTTTACTTTTGATTAGTGTTAGCCTGGTATATCTTTTTTTTTTTTTTAAGCCTGGTATATCTGTAGGCATTTTCTGTGTTTTGTTTTGTTTTTTTACATTTAACTTATTTGTGTATTTAAAGTGTGTTCCTTGTGGACAGCAGATACTTGGGTGTCATTTTTTTTTTTTTTGGTCCAAGCTGATGAGTTCTGCCTTTTAACTGGGGTGATCTACATTTCATGTGATAATTGATATGGTTAGGTGTAAGTCCATCCTCCAGCTATTTTCTACTTGTATGATATATTTATTAATACTTTTTCTGCCTTCTTTTGATTTCATTGATTTTATTATTATGATTCCATTTTATCTTCTTTGTTGACTTACTACATGTAGCTCTTTGTTTTTTTGTGTTAGTGGTTACCTTGAAGTTTAGTATACATCTTTCAGTCATTACAGTCTTCCTTTAAATCTGGTATCTGGTATCAGATACCACTTCATGTAAAATATAGAATTGTATAATAGCATACTTCCATTTCTCCCCTCTCAGTCTTTATGCTATTATTGCCATATTTTACCTGCACTAATGTTATGAACTCCAAAATACATTATTGCTATTTTTTGAAAGATTTCATTTATTTATTTGAGGGAGAGCATGAGCAAAGGTAGAGGCAGAGAGAGAAGCAGACTCCCAGCTAAGCAAGGAACCCAAGGTGGGGCTTGATCCCAGGACCCCAGAATCATGCCCTGAGCCAAAGGCAGACACCTAACTGACTGAGCCACCCAGGTGCCCCACATTATTGCTGTGTTCAAATGGTTAGTGTATAAAGAGATTCTTAAAAGAAATAATATAATCAGATACATTTATTTATGTAGTGCCATTTCTAGTTCTCTTTGTTTATGGACATTCAGATTTCTACCTGGGATCATTTTTCTCCTGCCTAAAGGACTTTAGCAGTTCTTATACTGCAGGTTGTCAAGCAATGAATTCTTCGAACTTTTGTATTTCTGGAAAAGACTTTATTTTACCTTCATTTTTGTAAGATATCTTTAGTGAGTATAGAATTCTAGATTGACACTTTTTTTCCTTTTCAGTACTTTAAAGATAGCGCTCCACTATCTTCTCACTTGCATTCTTTCCAAAGAGGGATTTGTTATAATCTTTTTTGTTGTTGTAGTTGTTACATCTTTATATTTGTTCCTCTGTACATTTTTTTTTACCTGACTGCTTCTAAGATAATGTTTTGTGGGTTTTTTAAAAATTTTATTTATTTATTCATGAGAGACATAGAGAGAGAGGAAAAGACATAGGCAGAAGGAGAAGCAGGCTCCCTGTGGGGAGCCCGATGTGGGACTTGATCCCAGGATCCCAGGGTCATGCCATGAGCCCAAGGCAGACACTCAACCACTGAGCCACCCAGGCATCCCTAAGATAATGTTTGATTATGGTTTGCCTTTGTGTCATTTTCTTGCTAAGACTATGTGTTCCATAGGTTTATGCTATTTCCATTTTGCCATCTAATCTCCCAAATCATGTTGGTAATTAGGTAGAACTGACTTAACCAAGAAAGCCATGTAGACAACAAAAAGTAGGGTGTATTTTAACTCAGGATTTCAAAAGGACTCGTGTGACTGAACCACCTAGTGGAAAGAGAACTCTATGCACTTTACCAGTCCACTTGGCCAGGTAAGCATTCTCAGTAGTCAAATTTTGATTGCTAATTTTCTCGTGACAGTTTTAAAACATGCCCCTGCCCCAGGTTTTTTGACGTTCTTCCCACTGAGAAGTGAAATCTACACCTCCTATCCTTGAATCTGGATTCTGTGACAATTTGACTAGGGGATTGCAGCAGAAGCGACACTGTGCCAATTTCTGGGCTCAGACTTTAAGACCTTGTCAGGTTTTCTTTCTTTCTTAGGATGCTTGTTCTTTGATCCCAGCCACTCTGCCATAAGTAACCCCACACTGCCTGGAGAGGGGCCCACATGGAGAAAAGGCTCACAGCCCACCACCTTGGCTGAGCTCCCAGAGAGCCAGTACCAGCCATATGAGTAACACATTTCAAAGGTTGCTGTGCCAGCCCTTAGTCTAGCTGTTACAGCTAGTATGGTGAGGGACAGAAGTGATCCCTGCCCTGAACTGCAGATTTGTGAGCAAAATGAATGCTTGTTGTTTTAAGCTTCTGTGTTCTTACATGATTTGTTATACAGGAATAGATCAACAGAATGTCCTCCCTAAAGAACTGAATTCTTAAACCTGTGTCTCAGACAAGTAACTTCTGCTCTAATTTACTGTGGTTTCCTCTTTTCCAACTTCTAGTCTTGTATATGACCCAGGGTGTTCTGCTCTCTTTTCCTTCTGTGTCAGGATAATCCCATTCTTCTGGAGAATTTACACAGCTATTTGTAGAAAGCACTTGTTCTTCAGATTTGTATGTGTTCAAAGTGTATTCTAATTACAGCTCTATTAACTGGATTCTTATGAAGCTCCAATTCCCTCTGATACACTCCACAGGATGTATGTGCTAATCATTATCACTTGCCAGTCTTCTAACCACACACTCTGCTTTGGCATTTATTTTCTCTGCCTAAGCAATGTTCTCTTTACTGGCCGCAATGTCTACCCACGTTAGCTTTTTAAGCTCACTTTTAGTATAGGAGTCTTTATTAAAAGCTTCCACTATTTCTGCATCATTGAATCAGTTAGGATTCACTCACAAGATCAAAACCACACTGGTTGGAACGCCTGGGTGGCTCAGCGGTTGAGCGTCTGCCTTTGGCTCAGGACGTGATTCTGGAGTTCCGGGATCGAGTCCCACATTGGGCTTCCTGCAGGGAGCCTGCTTCTCCTTCTCCCTGTGTCTCTGCCTCTCTCTGTATGTGTCTTTCATAAATAAATAAACAAAATCTTTATATAAAACATCAGTTATTTGAATAGAGAGAGTTTAATACATGTTAATACATACAAAGATCCTAGCTAGATACCCATCAGTTGGATCTGTCCATGGAAACAGAACCTAAATCTTTCAACATACATAAATAGATTTATTTCAAGGAACTGATTTACACACTTGTGGGGGCTAGCAGATCTGAAATCTGTAGAGCAGGCTTGAAATTCTTCAGCAAGAGCTATTGTTGCAGTCTTAAAGCAGAATTTCTTCTTTCTCCAGGAAACCTCAGTTTTTGCTCCTACAGTCTTTCACCTGAGTGGTATCCTAACAGCAACACCTGGATTAGTGTACATTAAGTAACTGGGTACTATAGACTAGCCCAGCTGACACATAAAACTAACCATCACAGTAACCAAAGGGTTAAAAGAGAATTGTAAAATATCATGGAAGTTGCAACTGCTGAAATCTGAGGAAGCAAAACAAAGATTGAACTTATTAAAACTTAGAAACTTGGTAGATCAACCACGAGGAACTGAAACTCAGACC